GAATGAGCGCGTTTCCTTCGAGGAAATCCAAAATGTGGTCCCTTAGGATGCTCTCCATGATCTTCCCTGGTATGCTACTGAAACTTACCGACCTGTAATTCCCCGGATTACTCTTTTCGCCCTTCTTAAAGATCGGTACGACGTTCGCTTGTCTCCAGTCCTTAGGTACTTCCGCGCCGAAAAGCTGCTTTCAAGTATGGTTCTTAGTGGAACCGATATTTCTCTCGCGGTTTCCTTGATTCGAGCATGAATCCCATCGGGACCGATCGCCTTGCCCACCTTTAACTTCCCTATCATACTCATGATTGCCTCCTCAGTGATGGAAATATCCTCGATGCGCGCCGAGGTCACCTCCTCCAAAGTCGGCGCCGAGTCGGATTCCACAGTGAAAACGGAAGCGAAGAACTCGTTAAGTATCCCAGCCATATCCTTATTACTGGCAATCGACCCCCTCTTGTCGTTCATTAGAGGCCCGATCGACTGTTGACACCTACCACTAGCAAACCGATAAAAAGCCTTGGGCTTATTGTTAGCATCATTAGTCAGCCGTTCCTCGACCTCCCGTCTCGCAGATTTAATTTCCCGCTTCAACGTCCGCGTGATGGTCCTATATTCCTCATAGTCCGTCCTATCTCCCGTGCGCTTGTACGTATCCCATTTTCGCTTTTTATCCCAGATGAGTGCTTTGATTTTACCAGTAAACCAGACCGGTTGCGTGACCGATTTAATGGATTTCTTGGGGATGCATTCCTCTTTAAAGCCATGCAATAACGTCTTGAACGCCACCCATTGCTCCTCTACCGTCAGCCCACGTAACCTTCCCTCCCAGTCGATGCCGGAATCGCATTCACGCAGTCTCTCAAAATTAGCCTTCTTATACAGTACATGGTGACCCAAAAAAAACCATACCGGGCTCGATTTTGGGCACCCTATATAATTCTAACCATCTAACCCTCTCAATATATTTCAGGTGATGGCAGATGAAACCCCCCCAGAGATATTTTATGATCAATATTTTCTCTACAATATGCCAAAGTTAAATTGCGTTTTGACAAAAACTAATAAAGTTATGACTTTTCAATGTTTGTTTGTTTTTTTGGGTCACCCTGTAGTTGTACGAAACCTTCGTCGGTTTGGCGTTACTCTTCGTCTGCTTGATATTCCACGTGATCGCGCTGTGGTCCGAATCTCCCAAGTTATCCTATATCCATAGGCGCCGACTTCTAAAAAATATTGGGGCGGGGGGGGGGGCAAGTTCCTAGAGCCTTTGAAATAACAGTTACGGAATAATTTCAGGATCCATCGGGGTAGCTTAGTACAGTATTATTATGGTAGCAGTGACGAGCGGGAGGGGGGGGCGGGGGAGGGTGCTGGGCATGGCCCTTCCACCCCATACCCTTACAGCAGTGGTTCTGAACCCTTGGGTCGCGACTCAATTTGGGCCAAACCATTTTTAGTTGGTCGCCAAGGGTCTCCAGTGACTGTCCGAACTTTCCTTTATAGTCCAGGTAACTCATGCTACCCAAACTTGCCTTTCCTCCTATCAGTCTGTTTAATGCTAAAAAAACGGCAGTCTGGATTCTAACCATGCTGAGCTAGCATTTGGGTCGCAGCCAAGAAAAGGATGAGAACCCCTGCCTTACGGAGTGACACAGGGATCTCCCTCAGTTGGAGCTCTAAACAGAAAGGATCATATTTTCATTTCTTTCGTGAAGCATTTTGTTTCTAATTTTCCATGTGCCATACTTTTGTTGAGATTTGGCCATTCTTGGGGGGGGGGGCACGTGTCCCTTTGGCCCCCTGGGTTCGGCACCTATGCCTATACCTTAACGTCTAGTGCCAGATCGTCGTTCGTCACGAAAATTAAATCCAATATAGCTTCCTCGCGAGTCGCTTCTTCCACGCACTGAACGAGAAGAGCATCCTGAACCGCAACGAGAAATTCCCTATCCCTTTCGCTTCCCCCTCGCCAGGGTCGTATCTAGAATTTCATTTCGGGGGGGGGGGGGGGTTGAACCCCATGAACATAAATACGGCCTTGCCCCTCGCGGCACCGACCAAACTATGTTAAGCATGTTAAAGTCTCCGAAGAGCAATACCTGCTTCGAGATCTCGCTGATCCTACGCATCAGTGCAAAATAAGCTGCTTCATCCTCGAAAGAAGAGTTTGGGGGCCTATAGCAAATTCCTAGCACGATCTTCCCAGTTACCCCAACGATAAGTATTCCATAAGTATTCGATTGTTTTAATGACCTTAAAATCAACGATATTTTCGATCGAGCGTGATTCGACGGGATGCGTTTCTCGATCGATTGTCGAGATTTAGTTCGTGCGCATACCACTTCAGAGGGATCACAAAAACGGAGCCCTGTCCCTCGTTCCTCTCTTGTTTTCTCTGTCCGCTTAATGCACTCTAGCGAGGATAGGTGAAGCTAGTTAGTTGACTCCCGAGAAGTTCGATGGCGGGTTGCACCAAGGGTCGGGCTGTCTTATTGAGCATGTGCCGTCTTCCTGGCAGTCATCTCATCTGCTGTTCTAAGTGCTGTTGCTCCCCAGCCATCTCGTCTCGTTCCTCTTTCCCTTCGTAATTCCACCCTCGTCTCGTGTAGTTCCAGTCTTTCGCAGTGGCCGTAGAACATGGCGTAGACCTAGCTTACAGTGAATTTGAGATGACAGTAAGACTTGTTTTGAATTGACGTAGCAATTTTTTATGATTCGGTGAGGATCATCGTACAATAAGAAAATATGTAGGCATAGGCCAACTATTGACTTATTCTTGTCCATTCATAGCAGGACAAAAAGTGTGGGTCCATAAGTAGTCATGAACCTTGGAATGTATTAATTGGGGGAAGCAAAGGGAGGCAGGTAAATTAAGCCTGCTACGCCTAGCCGATGAAAACCGGTGGGGAATTAACAATTATAGAGAAAAGGACAGTGGAAAATAGCTTGATTGAATTTGAGCCGATACAAAATCAATATGAATTCACTCCCATCAGTAAAGGAAGTGGTGAAGTTTATTGCTCTTCATTGTTCCAATTAGAATGGAGACATTTAGGAAAAACAGTGCCTGGTTGTGTTCTGAGTTATTTGACATACTGTGTCATAATGGCACTAAGTCTAGGGTGAGTGTTCAGCCTGATAACTAATTTTATCATGAAAATATAGTGGAGAAAGGATTGCAGTGAAAGAGGGTGCTCAAGAGTCAGTGGCATGCTCTGCATTGGAAGAGAGGACATGGAAGAGAACTTTTCAACCTGGCTCTGCATGCTTGGGCTCAGTGGCTGAGTATTAATTGAAGCCAGGTCATGGGGAGTGTCTTGTCTAGCTTCTTCCAGACAGGAAGTTCACTATTGGCTGTTGCCAATCACCGTGGTGTGTCTGAAGACACAAAACGCAAAATTCGTATAGTCTTCGATGCCTTAAGGGCCAATCCACGTGTCACTGTTCATCGCCTTGAGGGCCTCCTTTCACATATCCCAAAGGTGAGTAATTAATACTCTCTTGGACTTCTCAAAGTAAGGATAGGCCTAACAAGCGTATACTCCTAGCCTAGCCTCTACATGCCCAAGGCCCCTCGGTTTATGGTTGGCTTGGGTATGGTTTGTTATGTCATCCCCTCTCTCACTCATAGTAAAACAGGACCACATCCTGTTCTCAGTTAAAATTCCTTCTCTATCTCTTCTCTCTTGCCTCTTATTTCTAACCTCTTCCTATACAAAATGGCAGTTTTCCACTGATGGATCTACCAGAACATCTGCCCTGACCATGATGTCTGGTTGTGAGAGGATGATTAATCACTCTTTACAACCCATGCAGATAGGATTGCCATCCATTCATAATTAGTATGGACAGTACATAATTCAGATGCAGTGTCCAAATTGAAAACTTATTTTAATATGGACATTTTTGTCCATATTTTAAATTTAAGATTTTTTTATTTAAGAAAGCTTAATAGTAGCTAAAACCACTCTTTTCTGTCAGTCAAAAGCAGTAGGTCACATTCTTATAGTATCATTTGGCACCTAGGCTTAAGGTGGCTGTGGGTATTAGCAACATAGCCTCATATACAAGTGTACTTTGGATATTTGTCAATATTTTGTTAAATCCAAAGATGGCAACCCGACTTCAACCCTACTTGCAGCATATAAAGAATTTGAATGCAGCATTGTCCTAGACTAGATTATGTGGGTTTTCAGAAGATAAGAGGGGTTGATAGAATAGGTGGAGGGAGGTATTTACATAATAAACCAAATTCCTACCTGCTGGTGCAGCCTTACCATTGGAAGAGTTATTAGAGTATGGAGACAGTCTAGTGGAGACACTCATCTTGAGGGTTCTTGGGCATTTTTGATGGAGGGCTGGGAATCAAGGATAAAGTATTAATACTTTTAAATGTAACCTTCTCTCAAAGACCCAAAGATGAAAAAGTGCTTTGTGAACTAGAGGAAATTCACAGAGGTCATTCATTCAATGGTATTGGTTAGTTTGGAAGAAAGCAAAAAATGTAATAGACCTGCAGTTTTTTTGTTTTACTAATCACTTTCCATGCCCATAACAAGGACAGGGTCCTTCTTCTGGTCTCTCACTTTTTGAAAAGAGCAAAAGTTAGTCCATTAAGTAACAGAGGTAACAACTACAGTCTAACTCGGTTATAACGTCATCAAAGGGACCAGGTAAAAACCGTCATTATAACTGAGGTTCATTATAACCAAGGTTGCCTTTATTGGCACTCTGTTTTCCTGTTTTCAAAATTGATGCTATATAACGTTACAACTCCAGTTTACATTGGTCATACTACACTAGCTTCAGTTTCAAGATTGACCCCACTAATCGTGATGTTCGCACTTCTTTGGACCTTGAACTACTTTATATTTTAGCAAGGCTTTGTCGATGTCATCTCGACAGACCTAGGAAGTTTCTTGTTTTGTGACATGTTCTTGTAAGCACAGATGAAGCTGTTATGATTTTCCCAAATTGTGGAAACATATGAACAGATGTCCATGTTCACGAGCGACGTTAGCTTCACTTCGAGCTCTTTCTATTAAACTAATCAAGCACACTTTCCTTTCAATTGTGAAGGCTTGCCTCTTTCATTTTCCATTGGCCATGTTGTCAATGAGAAATGCAAATGGCAACTGAAGATAAGGTGGTCTTAGTTACTGGGGATTAACCCTCACTAACATTGCTCCAGCCACACCCACATAACTCTCAAGGAATGCTGAATCCAGGAAATATAAAGGTATCAATATCATGAAGGTGGACGAGGTGATTAGAGTGAACAGAAGTGTGTTTCTGGATGCCATAGCCACAGAAATGGGGATTATTTATGGGACTGTGCAGATGATTGTCCGAGATTGCCTCTAGTAACATTTGGTTTGTGTCAAACAGATAAAGGGCCTGACCAAAGACCAGAAGAAGGTCCACATGGGGCTTTGGCCTGCACACCTGTATTGCAGCCATGCTGAAGGGAACAGTTTTTTGGTCAGAATCATGGCATGTGATGAAACCTGGTGTCATCATTTTGATGATGACATCCTCTAAAGAGGGCATTGAGGTGCTGGCTATATCACTTGGACAATGATGTTAGGGTAGTGAGAACATGGTGCCACCAGATGCTAATGTTCTTCTATGACAGTACCAAAAATAATCAGGTTGTGTGGTGGGACAGGCATCTCATTGCCTGCATAGAGTACTCTTAATTAATGAAGCATGCACAACTTATGAAAATTGATGTTTTCATTTAGCCATGGTAGTATTCAATGGTGTAAAACATCCTGCAACATATGGTACATCATAAGAGTCAAAGCTTGGACCATTTTTTATTCTTGCCAATGTGAATGATAATATAGGGAAACTCAAATATGAGGTATGGATGAATGCTCTTGATACCAGCATGCTTTGTTTTTATCTTTTTTTTTCTTCAATAGGAGACCACAAGCAGAGCAAGAATGAAAAAAACTGGCTTAATGATTCCCATCGAAATTACTCTTACATAATTGAAACAATCCATATTTTTTCAGTCCAAATGGCCACCTTTGCAGGATGCATACATTTTGACATTTCTGGGACTGTATATTGAGAGATATTTACCTTTTTAGCATTACATTGAACATACATCAAGAAAGCTTCTACATTTGTTGATGATGGACCTCATCCTACCTTACCTCTGATGCTCTTGTTTTCTCTTAATTGTTGGCACTTGAAAACCTAAAGGTTTCAGGAATGTGGCACATTTGTCTTATTCCATTTTAAAAATATGGTAGTCCAGATTTTTTCTAAATTTTAGTCAAGAGAAGGAAGTTTGGCACTCCTAAGAATTCAGTTTTAGGTTTGCTCTGATTACAGAATTTAAAGCCTTTAAACCCTTTCTTTAAGAGATAGTGACATCCATAGATATTTCCTTCCAGAATGAAAATATCTTGTTGGTGAACAATGAGGAAGGCTACAATCTTCTCCAAAAATGTGTGGGAATCAACAATTTAGAGATGGTGCGATGGATCCTCTCCCGAAATCCAGATCTAAATCGAGGGGCTTGCTCCCTTCCTCTCCACATTGCCTGCTTTCGAGGGTTTGTTTATTGCCCACATCTGGTCCTTGCAAGGCAGTATCTTGATAGTAGCTCTAACTGTTGCTGCATAAGAATCTTGTTTTATTCATTTGGTAGACTTGATGACTGTGTGGAACTACTCATCAAGCATGGTGCCAGGATTGATGTGGAGGCTCGCATGTGCTGGCCGGGACCACATAATCAAAACTGTGAACAGAGAGGAAAATATTGTGAGTTTCCTCTTTGTCACTATGCATCAGTTGAGTCAGTCTATTTCTGCTTGTCAATTCTAGAATGTGTTGTATTCTTCCAGGTGTGCAAGATGAAACTGTTGATAGGGTTCGTGCAAGTGATAAACTACAAAGTGCCATCTGTTATGCTATTGATGGGGACCAGGTGAGACTCCTGCTATTGAATATGGAAAAAAAGTGGTTTTCTATTTTTCTAATTTTGCTAAACTTTCTTTTATCCAGGTGGAAACACTGGAGCTGTTGATGCAACAGTCAGAGGATCACTGGTTTCCATGGCATCAGAAGAGACCATTGTTACATCTGGCCTGTGAACGTGGGGCCTGGAATTGTGTCCGGTATCTCGTCTCAGAGCGTTCTGAGGAAATCAATCAGTGCTATGATGAGTATTATCCCATTCATCAGGTGTGCTTCTAGGCCTACCACAGTTATCCTTACTCTGCCTTCATCTATAAAAATTTGTCAGTGAAATGTTTAGTATATCATGAGATAAATCTTGAAAATTTTAGGCAGCACTGCATGATCTGAAGTTTCTGGAGCTATTGATCACATGTGGTGCTGATGTAAAGGTGAGGACAGCTACACAGCAACTGACAGTGTTGCATGTTGTCTTTCTTCTTGGCAAGAAGTCTGCAGAGGATACACTCACTACTGTCCAGGTGAGTCTCTGTGTATGAGTGATTTGCCCATCAGTTTCAGCTTGTAGCTGCTGAACTATTGGAAATAGGGTGATAAATTATCCTTTTACTTGTTGATTAAAATGTACTAATTTGTGGTCTTTTTTTCATTCTGGCCAGCTATTATTGGAGCATGGATTGCGAGAGCTGATAAATGAACCAGACTCTTTGGGAAACACTCCCCTTCATGCTCTCCTTGTGAGATATGCCCTTGAAGAATCTCGTTACGGTTACTGTCATGAACCACAGCCATGGAATAAATGGGACATGCTCCACCTAGTCAGATATCTCCTCCAGGTAAGGTGATCAACAACTTCATGCAAAAATAGAGCCAGGGAGACTAATGATATTTATGCAATCATGATTTAGAACAGTGGATTGCTTCAACCAACTAAAATTATTTTGGGTACAGAATAGATCCGTATGTCATTTGAAATGTAAATTATTTAATTTGTTTGTTTGGTTGCCCGATAGGTTGAGGATATATTCACAAATAGCATTATAATTGAAAATATACAATTGAAACAACTTTGTATAAGTTGTGCAATGTGATATTTGAGGTGATTTGGATTGCAGTCTGCTCTGATGAGAAAATAGTGGGAGGGGAGCAGAGATTGCCTAAAGCGATTTTGGTAGCCTGAATGCTGAATGTTCTGATTTTGAAGATGCCTACTCTCTGCCAAGCTTTGTTTTTTGAGATGACTGAGGTTATTTACAAGATGTTGAATGTTGTGTGACTGTAACTTGAAGATCTGATTGCTTCTTCCTAAATACTATAAATATTGTAACAAGTACAATCAGGAAATTGAATATGGTGATGCTCTTTTGACCCAGCATAAGTAAGGGAGCCAATTATTGTCTCCCTGGTAAGGATGTACCAGTCATGGTATGTCTGTTTTCATCTCTTGTTTGTAAAAGTTATGTGATCAATAAAATATCCAGTTCCCTTCTGCCATGGTGTTATAGGTTCATGCAACACCCCCTCCCCCCTCCCCCAAAACTAGTGTATCATAATGGGTGGTCCAAAATAAATTATTCATTTTTAGTCACTATCTCATGGAGCAGGACATGTCAATGGTTTTTCATCATGATAACAAGGAAAGCTCTAAATTTTGGATGGTATAGGTTTTTGAATTATTGGGATCCAAAGGATGCAACAGGATAGAACATAAAATTACTGAAAGCAATGGAACCTCCATTTTCCTCCATCTCTTTCAGTCTTATCTGATTGGTGCTGTAGGTATTATTAGGGCACCCACATCACAGCCTATTGCTTCCTCAGGTTCATGTTTTTACACGTTCCCCCTTTTGTCTGTTTTAAGACTGTGTGTGTGTTTTAGGCATTCAAATAACCAAAAAAAGTGAAATCATGCCTTGTCAGAGAATGCAACATCCAGGATTTCTAGTGATTCTGTCACAAGTTTCAGAAACCATTTGTAGTATCCAACCTTTTTCTTGTAGTCTGGCTCCAGCAACTTCTGTACTGCTGAGATATTGTATGAGGAGAGATTCAGGGATAATCATGGCTTTCCTGAAACTGGAATAGGACATTCTTGTCTGACTTGAAAGTTGGTACAATGATTTATTCAGACTGCATAGCATGTAGGTGAAGATACTCAGATGCCTATGGTATGTAACAAGTTACAAAGTGTCCTCTTTTATGCACACATTGTCAGTCTCTTTGAACTGCTTCACAATAATCCACATACAAGGCTTACTTGGAACGTTTCTCTCCTTTAACCTCAATAAAAGTTCATTCCTACACACTTAGTAAGAATCATTTTTGCTCAGCATTCCACAATAAACATGCTGCTTGAGATTGAACACTATCTTGGAGATAGACTTAGTCATGCTGCCATCTCTGATCATATTCACTAGGTTAGGTTCTCTTTTGCCATCTGTTGGAGCAAAAAAAAACATTTCTGTTACATGTGTGCCAAGTGTCCTATTAATCTGACATATACTTATGGAACTACCATCAATATAAGGATTAACAGGTATAATAAATACCCTGTACTGAAGTTACTTTCTGTACAGACAGCAAATATTCTTAAGGATTTCACAAGTACAGAATATTATGTTCCTTTTGGATTACCTCATTGCAGATCAGGTTATATTGAGATGCTAATGGTTACTCCTATGTATCAGAATGGAGCAAGCCCCAGTATAAATCAAGAAGGGAACTCAGCCCTTGCTGGTGTCCTCCGCCATGTCAGAGATTGGGAATTCCGCTATGAACTCCTTGACATGCTATTGCAAAATGGAGGTATGCAGTTCTCAGCTCTTATTGTGGTTACATGTTGGTTCCATCCTTCCTTTGGTATGCACAATCCATTTTTTTGTGATTGTAGGGAATCCAAACATTGTGGGACGAGATGGATCAGTGCCAATGATGGTTTGCCTGGTCCCACTCATTAATAAGGATCCCTTGCATCACTTCACCCATCATATGAAGATCTTCTACCTCAACTGCGTGCGAATCTTGTGCAAGCATGGTGGGAATCCCAATTGCAGCTCACGATCGAACTTGACCCCACTCCATGTTCTCATGTTCACAGCCAGTGAAAACATCACTCTGTCTCGAGGTGAAGAAAAGGCTGAGGCATTTGACTTCATCCGACAACTCCTTGTAGTGTTGCTGCAGCATGGCTTGGACCCTAATGTAAGGTTTAGCCAGCGCACTCAACATATTCTATTGGCCCTTATGGACATGGTGAACAATGCAAGATGCCCAACAGACTTGGATCATGTGTATGATCTAACTCTGACCCTTCTACAGTATGGGGCTGACCCAAATGTGAACATCTCAAGCACAGAACCCATGATCTGCCATTCTCAGAGCTCAGTTTTCCTCAAGAAATCATCCAACCAGGTGTTGTATTACTTTGTGCAACTCATCATGAGAAAGGAGGTGTTCCTGACAGACCCAAATGCTCGTTATGCGCGTTTGGTTTATCTGTATTACTATGCCATGAACCATCAGGAGCTATACTCGTGTCTCAAGTTTCTGCACTCGCAGACCAGTCTAGTCCCAACACGTGGGGACCTAATCCAACTCATCAAACGCCTGTACACTTCCCCACGAACCCTGAAACAGATGTGCCGTGTGACCATCTACAATGCCCTGAGGCGGCGCCCTGCTCCCTTTGCCAACAAACTTCCCTTACCTGGTCCCTTGAAGGACTACATTCTTAACTGGGATCCTTGAAAGTTGAAAGGCTCCCTGCCCCTACCCCTGGTGCCCATCTTCTTTGTTGGCTGTTGGACCTACAGTTACCTTTTTTTGTTTTCTCGTATCATGAGAACCTTTGAAGAGAATTTAATATGGAGTAGATGAAAATCCAGTGCAATATGGTAGTCAAACCAGTCTTTTCATTTCAATATGAATCCTGGGAATCTCTCAAACTCTGTTTTTCAATTTTCATAGGTAGTGCACACAGTTGGGGCTCATACAGCATGATGCGCATTGAGCTTAGTGGTGTCACTCCTACCCATGTTCTCTCACACTTCCTTTACTTGTTGATGTTTATGTAGTCTATTCATGATATTGTCCTTCCTGCTCACTTGCCAATGTTCATTGGCATATTCCTAGGTGTTAGCATAGCAAACATGTGGGTGCATCTATTACATGGAGCTGTCCAATACTGTGGAAGTTAGTTTGCTTTGTGTGGTATGGATCTGGCTAGCATGTTTTTTTTTACCTTCAAATTGTGAATGATGCAATATCCACACCCGCCAGGTCACTGCCTTATGGATGTCAGGCACATTTGTTGATGGTGAAAGATTGGTGGATGGGGAGTGAGGCATTTGCATTGGCCAATTGTCTCCTTCAATTTAGTATACATATGTGGGAGAGATTTGTGAGGAAGGTAGCTGTGGTTCTAACAGGGATGTATTGAAGGAGTTAGGAAATGATGCACATAGGTATAAGAAAATGACCAAAACACATAATAGTTCATAGACATATATTTTAACCTAGAAAGAACTAGGAATCTTCATTTCATTGTCCAAGGATATTCCAACTGAGAAAAATTTACTGCTTATGGGCCAAGATGTCAAGTTTGTTGCCAAAATGTTAAGGTTTTATATATTCATGGCAATTGAATCAATTCCAATGAGTCTAGCTATTGCCACGATAGTTTACTTCACATTCAAGAATGTTAAATAAGACTTAACCCTTATACAGGAAAACCTCATTAATTCGAAATCCAGGGGACCAAAAAATACCAACTTCGAAATAAGCAGGTTCGAATGATCAAGTTTGGCCATTGCTATTTTGTAATACTGTACTAAATCTGCATGTTTTGCACTGCATATTCTCTTCCTTTTGTTGGTTTCATAGCCACCTTCTGCTAGCTTTTCAATGGTGCCATGATTTTTAAGGAATGCAGATTGAGTTGAATGCAGTATGCCAAATTCTTTTTGCGATATCAATTTTCAATTTTAATTTCTTGTCTGCCTCACAAATAACTTCCAACTTCTGTGAAATACTTAACTCGTTTTACTTCCTCTTGTTCGCCATGGCACATTCACCCATTTCACTCACAACACAGAGAAAGAGAGACTGTGCTGCCACAATGAAAAGTTTTTTCACTGAAGGTTGTACAAGGTGATAGGTAAGGATAGAGGGAGAGATTAGTGAAAGGGGGCATTAGTCTATATTTAGAATTCTTCTGAATAGAAAAATGAAGTTTCCAAGGCAATTAGTTGGCTTTGCAGCCATTTAGAGTGTGAGGTTTGAGATTGGTCATCTGTAGGTTGTAGGGAAAAGTGTCCTTCAAAGTAAATGAACATGTTCCTGAGTTTATAGCTCATGAGACCAGAAAATGCCTTCAAACTTCATAGTATCTGTATTTTGAATTATCTGTACTATAAAGCATACATATTGCTATCTTCTCAGATGGGGAACGTAAATGACTTCGAAGTATCTGATGCTTTGAACTATCTGATATCGAATTAACGAGGTTTTCCTGTAGTGCCAGAGTCAATTACAGCGACGCTACAAATATCGCTTCAAAATGTCAAGAGTCGAAGAGCTGGTACTAAAATGTCCAAAGTTTGAGAAGGAACACTATTGAACGCTTGGACTAGAAACATTTCTTAACCCTTTAATCGTCAGCTCTTCAACATTGACCTTTTTCAATTAAATTCGTAGCGTCGCTCTAATTGGCTCTGGCACTATAAGGATAAGGTCTTTTGGATGAAGCTTCTGGGAAAAACAACACCAATATTGGTGCTCCCACTACTGTAGAAGTGACACTCATGACTTAGCCCATCTGTTCTTCACTTCCAGCTATGCATGAGGTGTAATTTTTATCTGACCACATTTGATCACAGTGGTGAAGTTGGCAAATTTGCCTTCAGTGATGCTGTATTGTTGCAACAGTATTGTTAATTCACTGCAAAATGTAACAGAGCAACCATCAACTGGTATGATGAGCAGACTTTCTCCTTGACCCTTGGGCATTTGACCAGTTTTCTCTATAGAGGGTCATTTAATATTGACACTTTTATCAGTCATATTACATACTGCTGTGAGTGCATGTGCCTTACTTCATCAGTATGTCTCAACTACTTTTTTTGTTTTTTTTTCATACTGAGTTGAAATGGTTGATTTCAGGAAAGCGAAAGGTGAGCCAGAACCAAAAGACTAAGATTGAAGCATCACCAAACCAAAGAAACAGCATAAATTGGGATGATTGATGATTCAGGAGCAAGGGAATGTTTTGTTAATTTGTCATGATACCTTGAATGCCTTCAAGTTTCATTGTGTGTGAAAGTTGAAATTATTCTCATGGCACAATATTGTAGAGACTGGGGAACTCAAGGAGTTCTGAGGTTCTTAATTCTTCAGTTTTCAACCTCAGCCTGCTAAAGGAATTGGTTTTACTTATCAGTGCCTCATTTTTGCATGCCCATTCCATCCCCATTTTATTTCCTAAACAGTAAGGCTTTATTCTTTCACTGTAGAGTGGATTCCCAGTGGATGTTTAGGTTGGTCCTTCAGTCCCAAAGGATTGTATTGGGAGGGATGACTGACCACTCCTTTTCCCTTCTGAATTACCCTACATAGAAAACTACAGGGAAACAACTAAAAAAAGTTCTTCAATCTACTGTCTAATAAAGAAAAGCATGTTATAGTTAGAGCATTTTTGTTCTAATGCCTACTGTAGTTTCCTTTTTCTAAGATTTAAGTCAAAAATAGTTGTTTTAGAATGTCAATTTTAATTATAACTCCATGCTGAATCAAGAAAGTTGACATTGCATGCATGCTTTTTATGCATTATCTCAGCTAGGTTTTAAAAATAGGTGAAATCAAACCTTTTTAGCTCAACCTTTTTATTTCAGTCAGTAAAAAATTGAAAGCGCCTAAGTCTGGATTGTGTCCAATGACCTTAACTATGCTTTTTTAAATTTCTCTACTGTGGCTGTAGAGGGCAAACGTTGAGCAGTCAAAAAAATATTTTATTGCATAGTGTAAATTACTATTACATATAACCAAACAAAATAACTCAAACTTAAATTATGACCTGTTTCTGTAACTTCAGCATTGACTCACGTAATCATTTATTTTTTAAATGTGGAAATTAACTCATGCATGTGAGCATTAGCCATATGTTAAGAACTTAGTTGAGAATTCGTTGTATGGATTGCAGGAGCATTCAAAGTGACTTGAATGGGTACCAACCCTGGATAAAATACAATAGGGATCAAGACTTCTTGACTATCAGAGTCTATCTGAAATCCTTCAGCCAGAAAGGTATGAAAACAGACGACTGAGTTGCCTAGCTGTCGATGAAATTCGCTCTATGCAACAGACAGCTGACTCAGGCACTGCAGGATGCGCTGATGCACTCGTGTGGCCAGAATATGGATCATGTTTTGAGATCGATGAATACAAGGACTGAATAGATAGTTCCAGGACTAATTCTGTAACTCCTCTATTCCTGGATTTACAGGTGCCAATGTTCATGGAAATCTCGTATTGGGTCTTGGTGGTGTTTCGGGAAAGTTTATTGTCAATTTGTTTTCTTCCTATTTTTTTTTCATATTGTTTTTGGAGCGATTCTTTATGCCCCTCGCGAGAGTGATTGAATAATTTTTTTTAATCAATTGAAAAATCCAGATGCCAAACATGTTGCTTGGAAAATGGCAAATGCGCCACATCCCTGTGATCTTTAGGAATTCAATTGTTGCCAATAGTTGGGAGAAAAAAGGAGCATCAGAGGTGACCCAGGGTTAGGTCAGTCAACATCTGTTGAGTGTGGTGTGAAAGTTTCTTGAATCCCACTGTAATATATGTAAACTATCAAGGGAGCTCACAAACGGTCTCTCTCTGGTCTCCCTGAAGGATTCCTTGCACTTTTGCTCCTCTCCTCCGCAGCTATAATGGATCATTCCCGATGACTGTCTTTGTTGAACCATTTTTGCCTGTCGAATATCATCAAACAGCTTCGGTACCTTTTCCATTACCAGTAGCGCACAACTAGCATCCTAGTTTCTTTGATGCATTTCTCCAATTTCACATAAGTCATGGTACTCTGAATTTCAAAATTGATTCAATCAAATGCCTCACACAATTTCCCAAGTGTCAATATAGAAAAAATATATATCTATCTTCAAAGGAAAGTCCATGCGCTCACAAGACCCAATGCAAAGATTCCAATGAGAATAAGCACAAAAGAATAAGAAGGTTACGGAGCCTGTCTTGGAACTATTTGATCAACCCTTCTATTTCTCAAGTTATTAGGGCCAGACCGTTGGGTTAGACAGGGTAGGCCGAAAAAAAAACCTGGGAGATCCGTAAAACCTCACTTCCCAGTTTCTCAAGAGTTAGCTGAAGTTGTAATTACGACTCTATAGAACATATTTTCAGCTTGTCATAGATGTCAACAGATCTGAGATCCGTGCTGTATTTTTCATGCAGTTATGAAGATTATCAAAGGTAGCTCCTGCGTAGACAGTGCTGAGTCATTCCATGTCAAGTGGCCCAATTTTCGCGAAGTTGGTTTCCTCACCGATTGGGATTTAGCCGTTAAAAATCATGTGTACTGGGGATTATGAGAAACGGATGAATTCGACATTTCAGCTGTCTCGGTCAAGCGGCCTTTGAGATAGATATGCCCCTTGAAAGTTTGAGAGGGAATGATAAAATGACCCCTCAAACAAATGCAATATCTCCCGAACTACTTCAGCTAGAAATACGATTAATAGCGCATTTTAAAGCGAATAGCCAGGCATCTCTAACTTATTCTACGGGCTCTTCTATGCCTTAATTCTAAAAAATTAACAATTTATTAAATTCATGAAATAATCACATTTTCAACCCTCGAAAATCCACAGTAAAAGTGCATGTAACTTGACCAGCTTTGTCGTGTTCAAGCTCTATGAGATTAGCCGAAAGATACACGTATTTCCTTTTTAAGTCGCTTCAAAAATCCGCTGTGTACTTAAAGTTGCAAATTTTGCCATATTTTCAACTTTGACCTTCAATAATTTTTCGCTGATTCGAAGTACACTTATGCTTATCCCATAGAATGATAGATCTCTCAAAGCTCTTGTGAGTCATAAGTTTGATCGTGTTATTCTGAAATACTGAATGTTGAGTATGTTTTTTTTTCTGGACTATCTCCAGTGAGATTCACCTTTAAGCGCTTAACTCCACCTCGATCATGTTCGAGCAGGAAAACATTATACGAGGGAAGGTGCAAAAGTATAAGTAAGTACTCATGCTTTTATTGCCTGTCTTTTTTTGTTGTCTTTCTTTCAATGAACGGAACCACAGATGGGAAAATGTGTAGTGAGGCAGGAAGACTACCTAGAGAAATAAAGGGTCTATGTTCGCACAAAGGTATAAAGTCCTGCCCACATAATTACGAAGCCTCACTACTTTTGCACCTCCCCTTGCACTTGATATTATGGGTTTGACACGGCTTGGGAAACACATACGCGCAAACTTTTCAGGTTGCACCCCCCCTTTTCATCCGTATATTCGGTCGCGCCCCCTTACCTCTCCTCCCCCCAATTTCAACAAAACAGCAGCCAAAATCATTGAACCAGACAACCCCCCCCCCCCCCCCCCCCCCCCCCCCCCCCCCCCTCCACTGGTTCCGTTTCAACAGAAACTGACTGCAATTTCGGCTAAGTTTCGCACGAAAAAGAAAACACGAACATATGATTTTGTATCATAATGTTCGCATAAATTTGCGGCCCCAGTTTGCGCACCACTGCTCAAGGGGATGGTCAATCGTTCCGTTTTGACAAAAAAAATGGTCCTCTGATAGGTATCTTCATCTCTATTACGACAGGTATAAAATACCTATCATGATAGGTTTTTGTGAATTTTCCTGATGACAACCTCCTATCCATCGTCTCCCACCCAGGAACAATGGCATTTGTATTTGCTCACATGGCTGACAAGAGTGTTGGGTGATGATTTAACGGTATTAATGTGACCCCGTTTACCAGACTAGTGATTGAATTCCGATTCCCGTGGCTTGATACAAAGAACTCTACGGGATTTAAGCTTTCCCAGAGTAACTGCGCTCGGCACAAGTTGTGACGGTTCACATAATTAATCGGGTCAGCAAAATACACTGCAATCCACCCTGGTAGCTCGTTATAAGCAGAATAAACAAACTCTGGATCATAATAGATTTAAGCGATTTTTAGTGGGTCTCATTTTTTCAGTGGGCGTTTATTTGTATACCCCCGGAGCACTTAACTTTAAATCAACATAGAATACACATTTAATTAACATGCGGACGTTGAATCAGCATTTGGTCAATGTTGAGGCAATGTTATGTGGTACTGGGGACGTCTCTGTTTTTTTTTTTATTTTCTCGTGATGACTTGCGAATTTTCATGTTTAATACAAGGAAAACAAACACGAAATGAGGATGAATTTCTCTCCTGCCGATCAATGACGTAGCCTGGTTTCTACTCCTGGGCAATTAGATTTTCCTCTAGCTTCTTCGTACTCTTCAAGTGTTTGTCCATAACTCTGCAATGCAGTGGTCGTGACTGAATTTCATGGCAGTCGGATGGCAGGGTGCTTCAGGTTTTCCCGAGCCAACAACTATTAAGAGTTATTAAAATGAATGCTTTAACGAACGTTCTAAGTCAAATATGCAAGATTCAAGATAGTGATATCAAGAGGCGATTTCGCCCATTTCGATATCACGTGTCGAGGTCGAGCGTTCCTTAATTTTAGGGTAGGCCTAACCCTCTTAAAGCGAAATATATTTTGTATTTTTGTATTTTTTTGTTTTGTTTTTTGACTATCCTAGTTGCTTACTGTCTAGTACCTAACGTCAACATTGCCCCCCACCGTTTTGCCTGTCCATGAAAGCATCTAGTTTCTTCTTAAAGATAGTCACAGAAGGGGCAGCCACTACTTCGTCATTAACGCATTCAACGCGTTCACCACTCTGCAAGTAAAGAATTCCTGTCTCGAAGTAATGTTGACTCCGTACGTTTTCTTGAATTTTTCCTGTCGCGACATTTCATTTTTCTGCCCGATATTTCGAAATCGTGCTCAACGATCGTGGCCACCGCAAGTCTTTCGCTTAGCAACATGGTCATCTTGGGTTAAGAAGAACTCACTCAGATGTCGATCTCGCGAATGCCTATTTATTAACAATAAACGTTAGTGTCCGAACTTAGGTGGTTTTACCATAAATAATTTTGACTACTGCTATCACTTTCATGGATGTAAATGACTGTGCCTAATTTCACATCCAGTGGTGGTAGAGTTGGACAGACATGACAGGTCTGCAAGGTGGCAGGTTACTTTGCTTTTGAATGAAGAAAACCCATACACAAACAACCCCCAAGCCAAGAGTGTCATGCACATTTAAGATAATGGAAAAAAGGAAAGAAATAGAAATTCATGATTGAAACTATCCAGAAATTTTATTCCCATATTTTCTCCATTGGTTTTGGATCAGGGGGGGGTCCACAAGTGGTGAAAGGAATCTCTCCTAACTGCAGCATGTTATCTGTACTTGGCAGGGGCTGTATAGTTCCTACGAGATTGTTCATTGTCGGAAGCTGAATCCTCTGTTCCTCGTGACTCGGCTGAAAGCAGGTTGGAATTCTCGGCTGTGGATGCAGCATACACTCATAGCTGCATCTGGTGCCAGTCTTGTTGCCCTCCGTTGGTGGGCAATGGGCTTTGCCTCACCCATATTTCAACCTGAAGACAATCCTGCTGCCTTCATTAATTCCACATTACAAAGGGTTCTGTTCCTTCTTTTCTCACATTTCCCTTATTGTACCTTGCTTTCATGCTATCTACAACATTGCTGATGCATCTATTGACAGGCAATCAACTATCAGTATATCTACACCTTGAACAGTTGGCTTATGGTGAATCCCCACTGGCTTTGTTTTGATTGGTCCATGGGCTGCATTCCACTCATTAATGAAATCACTGATCCAAGGGTCCTTGCTCCCCTCCTGTTTTGGCTTATCACTGGTCTTCTCATCTGGCGTGCTCTTCATCCAACTCACAAGGGCTGTCACCTCTCTAGAGACCAAAGGTCAGTGTCCCGTCTATTATATTTTCCAACTTATGAAGCTTCTCAAGTTCCACACTAGTGGGTCTAGAGTGGTTTCATAAGTAGAATGAGAATTAATGTATATTGCAAGAACACTCTTGAAATTTATCCATAAAAATAACTAAATCCAGCAAAAATGTCCAAAACATGATCTTAAGCCTACCTAATAATACCTGCCCAATGCCTGCCAAAAATAAAATAAAATTGACCTTCCTATCTAAGTAAGTAAATACAGGTGTAATGAAGGTATCAAACAAGAGAGCTAAAATAAAACTATGTAACATTTCACTATTTAGCTGTGTCTGTCAGCAAAGAATAAATTTTTGGTAAGTGAAAGAAAGAGTTAGGCCTAGTTTTTGAGTTCTACATGGGGGGAATTAAGGAATATTACCTACTATTATGTCAAAAAAATATAATGACCAATGACAATGTCCATGACAATACGGTACCAGCTATAGCTCATCCAGGCATTAGAGAGCGGCCAGATTTTTGGAGGTCCACAAAGGGTGACAACTCTGGTCTTTAGGGCATGACAAATGACCTTATAGAAGGCCTGTCATTGTCTCCCCCCTCTATGTTGGTTATATCTGAAAGAGGAGTGTGTTAGTGCTGCCAGAATTTTTTTTTCATCTAGTAGCAAAGAAAATATGACAGTAACATACATCAAGTCATTTAAACTTAAAAATTGTTCATTGCAAAAAACTTATCACTCTTCAATGAACATAAGACCTGCCATTCCATTTTTCACTAGTCACTGTTACATTCTGTATGAAGAGAGATGATGAGAGTTTCCAAATCCAAAAGAATTCGGAACAATCATTTGGATCAGGTGGTTGTGCATTCCCACGATCAGTTGCTTGCAGCATTTGAAATGTGCCGTCTGTGCCTAGTGAGACTAGGTGAAGCATCTGAATCTTGACAAGTCAGAAACACTGTCACAAATCTGACCTAGTATTAGGTCAACTCAGTTCACCTGCCCAAAGATATGGATAATCCTCATCAGCTGTTTCATTTCACTCATTTGTCATTTTTACAAATGACCGGACAAATTGCTCTTAATGGCAGCAAGGGTTATCTCCAGCCAGCTCTCTAATGCCTGGATGAACTATTGGCATATTTTGTGTTAAAGTGTACCTCAAGGGCAATGCTTCCAAATTTTTTCTCAGCCTGTTCCCAAAGTGGTAATGGTGGCTTGTAACTTTTTGCCATTTCATAGTTTCTGGTTGCTACTAGGCACTATATCTTTCCAATATCATTTTTCTTTTAACAAACTTATTGTGTTGCAAATTGGAAGTAATTCTGCATGATGTTGGACAATGGGAAAATGCTATTGCCATTTGTAGCAACAATTAATTTTGCTGGTTGCCAGCACAGTAACATGTTTTACTCATGGTTACTGAAGCCTGCTGATTTTGGACATTTGGAAGCACTGCTCAAGGGTATATGTGACCTCACTCTTGCCATCATCACACCTATGGAGGCATGGATTCCATGAATATTTGGATTCATTTCTGACAAAGCACATGTACAGTGTGTTCCAAGCAATTCCCAACATAAGTAAAAGCGATGTGTGAAATGAAGAATGAAGTTTGTGAGGAAGAAAATGTCTTATTTGAGAGGGAAATAGGGACAAATTAATTTTTAATGCATGGAATGCTCAATGTGTTCACCATCCTTTTTAGCAATTGCTTGTGTATGAGAGAAGTTAGCAGCAACCTTATTCAGAATGCTCATAGTGATAATCTTCATAGCAGCTGCAGAATTGTGGTCCTGGAAAAAGTGGTTTTTGGGCTTGGGAGTGGAGACTTCAGGAAGTCATGAAAAAATTATTTGCAGGATTTGCAGTCTGGCAAAATCATTACCCCAGGCATTGCATATATAATTAATGTTAACTTAACACATTGTATTCACACAAAAGGGAAGTTGAGTGGTGGACATAGTGAGCATTTCATATGGTACTCATGCATTTTCATTGCCCCTCTATAAAATAAGGTATTTTTTCTTCTGCACTTTATTTTAATTCATGTTTGATGTATGTCTTTTCATTTATCACCAATTGCTTGGGGCTCCCTGTGTATGAACTTGCCCATGAAGCAGCTGTATATTGATTAGAAACATGCTGCTTGCTGAAATATTGAATCATTTTTTTGGCTTGGTTATCTGCAGGGTGATAATGCTGAGCCTGGCTTGGGTCATCATCCCCTTCTTGCCTGCATCTAATCTGTTCTTCACTGTTGGGTTTGTGATTGCTGAGCGAATGCTCTATCTCCCTTCCCTTGGTTGTGCAACCCTTGTTGCCCTCGGCTTTCGACGTCTCCTCTCGGCTGCATCTGCATCTCAGTTCCTCCGCCTTGTGCGTGCTCAACCAAATTTAAAACCATGTTGTTGAATATTGATGAGCAGACTTTGAGATTGAGATTGTAGAAGTAGGCTGTAGACTTATGTTGATTGGGTTATTTGTAGAAAAAATAAATTGACTTAACACAACAATAAGAAATATTAAGAAAAGAAACAAGGTACAGTAGTGATTGGAACTTTGTTCCTCTGTGTGATGAAACTCATTGTTACCCCAAATCATGATGATTTCTTTGTTGCAGGTCCTTTATGGATGTCTGAGCTGGATGTTGGGTATGTATAGTTTGAAGACATGGGAGCGAAGTGGAGAGTGGGTGAGCGAGAATAGACTCTTCCTTTCTGGCCTCCGGGTCTGTCCCCTCAATGCCAAAGTCCATTACAACATTGCCAAGACAGCTGCTGATTCAGGGGATGGTGACACTGCCATCCTTCACTACCAGATGGCTCTCAGGTCTTCTTTCATTGATTTTGATTACACTGATTGAACGAGTGGTAAGGGATTTAGGTCCTGAGTATGCTAAGGGAGGCAGTTATTTAAAATATCCTTATGTAGCTGGTCTTGAGAGCCATGTGTGACTACAAAGCAATGTACCAATAAGGTCAGTGATAAGATAACTCATGACCTGTGTGATCATAAGGCCATTCCTTTAATCACTCAGGATTCCCTGCTACACTCCATTGAAGCTTAGTTAGCTGGTTTTCAGCTTTTTCATAACCAATATCAATATGGAAATTTCATATGTTTGGCATGGAAATGATTTGGTCACCTGGTTGTTTAGTGATTGGAGATTTTGCCTCATTATAGGACTGAGAATTCTTCAATCTCTTGTAGAGGTTTTTCATGGAGATTCCTATCTGAGATTCATGACAAGTACTGAGAAAAGAACAGCAACAGTCTGAAAAAGGAGTAATAATAGGCTACTGGTTTGGATTTTTTCAAATTCCTTTCCAGACCACTAGTGTCCAGCTTTCCTTTTGATATCACCAGCAAGGTTGAGGAACAAGCTGCCTGCATGTCAAACTTGGTCTTTTGGCATAAAATTGCTAATAAGAATAAATACAGCAGAATTACCTGGATGAACAATTCTCTTACATGATTTTACACATTTTCCCTAATCAGGTAACTTTTATGTCAGGTTGAACCCGATGTATGAGCAGGCAATGAACAACCTTGCAAATCTACTCAAGGACCGAGGACACTTGGACATGGCTCATTCCCTCCTCCTCGATGCCACCCGCATCCGGTACTCCTCTTCTCAAAGTTCAACAATGTACCTTCTGACACAATAACAAACTGTGTTTTGAGGAATGATTCCACAGTTGAATCCATCTTTAATAGAAGTTCATCCACCATTAGATTCAGATGCTTTGTCCTCTTGTGTATTCCTATTAGCCAGCACTTCAAGGGCTCTTATGGGAAATATACGAGAAATATATGCATGAAATATACTTGTATATTTCATGCATGAAGATTCTAGGCCTACTGGCAATTTTAAAAAACGTACATAATAAATCTGTATCCCATTCATTCCCTTTTCTCATATAGTAGGCCTCTCTTTCACAGCTTTTAAGTGTCATGTTGACCTGATTTTTGTTTTTCATGCAGTTTGAAATGTTTTCATTGTAGACCAAGATTTGCTGCAGCCTGGATGAACCTGGGGATTGTACAAGCCTCCCTGGGGCAGTATGCAGAGGCTGAAGCCAGCTACAAGGCTGCCCTTGCATTGAGGGCTCGCTACCCTGATTGCTTCTACAACCTAGGGAATCTGGTATGTACCCTTTCCCTTCAGTCAATGATTTCCCTTTCATTCATAACCTCTGATGCCATTTTTTCTACTGCTCCAGGGGTGGTAGGATGGCAGTATTTTTAACATTTTAGACATTTATTTTCAGAGTGGGGAATGTAGTACGTGAAAAGGGAATCTGAACAGACTTGCTTGAATATAAAAGTAGCTCTCAAGAAAAAGAGTTGACATAAAGTGAGAAAGATCCAGTGTTAAACCTAGAATCAGCCTTCGAGGGACAATAAATAGGCCCTCGCATTTTCTTACCTGTTACTTAAAAAAAAAAGGCATTTCAAGCCTTTTTTTAATATTGAAACATGGAGAAGAGGATGTTGCAAGGTGAGAAATCCTCCAGAAAAGTTCTTTGTTTAAATGAGAAATGAGACCCCTTGTGCAGTCTATTTTCCTGAAAGACTGAACCTTGAATCAGTATGTGAGATATGCAGCTGCTTCCGCAATCATCAAATCCGCTACCATAGTGTACAATTTGGAAAAGCTGAACAAATACTATATTTATTTCTGGAAACAACTTCGAAGTAAATCACAATGGATTAAACGTCCAGTATGCATGCCTATTCGCTCTTGCCTCATGTGACATCGAAAGGGGGAAATTGCATTCCTTCAGGAGGCAAATATTTCCTTGTTTCTGGTTTTTGTAAGTAACCCTTTAATGCAGAAAATTGCAGTTTTCATGAATCTCTGTTGCAGTGATTTGGGAATCGATTCAAATTCTGAATTCCATTAAAATATGACTCCATATCGACTTGAATAACATTCCATTTCCATTGTCTTGGCTATCCAAATATGTAGGGTAAGAAATGATGTATCATGGTTTGAGCCTATTTAAAGCTCTAGAAGTAAAAGTGAAATTGATGGGCTGAGTTCATCTGGGTAAGCCTCATTCCCCAGAATGACTGGATTAAATCCGAGCAGAAGCTTCTCTGATGTACTCTTGGGTTAATTTGCGCGAATTCCAAAGGATTTTGGCACGAATGACGTACCCTTCGAGGAGCTATTAGGAGATTATGATTTGTAGTCTAGAAAAATGCCGTGTTTTCCCTTGGATTGTGTTCCTCTGTATACAAGACAGCCCCATTTTTGAGCATCTTAAGGGTGTGAAAGTATTCTGTTTCCAACGCTCTTGCATGTTGGAAGCAGGGAACTTTTGTGTTGGGAGGAACCCGGTGAAGTTATGTTGGTGAAACCTTAGCATCCTGATATTGATGGGTATGACATACCAGACTCTCAGATCCCAAGCACTTGTTTCATTTCCGTGAGAATGAGGAAGTACGACGAATCTACGCGAGAGAAGGGAAGATGGAAGTAATTGTGGAAATGGAGTTCGACGTTCATCCAATTGGCCAAAAGAACGATATAGGAGAAAGTATCTTAGGAAAGGGCTTAAGCAAGGAAGCAAAAATCAATGGGACGTGGAAGAATCTCGTGATATTTCACGTGAAAATAAATAACCATTTCCAGAAATCAAGGAGAAAACGACTGAATACGTGAAATGATGAGCCGTTATTGCGGTAATAGGACGTTTTAGAGACTATCCAGACACTTGTGATTGCAAGAGCAAGAGCGATTCCCCGTCGGGGATTCAGCGCTTCTCGAGGATGGACGACGCGATTCGTGAGACGAACTGGAGTTTCACTCGGAAATCCTCTGCGGCTCAAAAATTATTTGCCGAAATGGAGGCGAAGGTCGTGGAATCACATAATGCCGTCCGACTCTCGACCGATTCCAGAGTTTCATGTTTCATATTGAGAATCGGGTGCGATGTCTGGCCAGACGTCACGGAGAGACTGTATGACGGAAACTCCTGCAATCGACTGGGTAGGAAGTGCATGGGAGCCCGGGAACCTTTCTCCTCCGATGCGATGTGAAGCCATCTCGCGGGCGCATCTCCGAGAAGCGAGAGGGGAACAGGGTGGGGTGAGTGGGCTCCAGCCGGTCGAAGCGAGCGCAAATAGCCCTTTCGGGAAGCACTCACGTCGGACGCCGAATGAATTCCAAATGAGTATTGCCGTGAGACGGTACAAAGGAAGCCGACACTCTCACGGTTCGCTCTACGTGCGTGGAATGTGGTCGATGGAAAGGAGGATGACTTGCCTGTGGGAAGGAGGGGTGAGAATGAATCCGAACTGGGTTCGGTGGCCGAGCGGTTCGGGAGTGAAATCCGGGAGGTGGTAGGCTCTTTTCTCCACCGACAGGCGAGCTGCGGCCTAAGGCAACAGTTCTCGAACTAGGAGGGAGGGGATAGGGCCTGAACTTAGTTTATTTTACGTTTTAAAGTTAAGTGTGCCTTTTGAGAAGGTGCTTATCTGCAGTATCTATTTTATTATTATTTTAAAATTATTTTTGTTAAAATTCTTCACATTCCGATCAGTCGAATCAAAGCGCTCAAGAAAGGCAGAACAGAGTAGCCCCCGGGGGGGGTCTTCTGCTTTTTTTTCCCCCCTCCCTGGAATAAAAGAGAAGTCCCAAGTTCTTCCTCCAGATTACAATACTAAATGAACGAACGAATGAATGACGAAATGGTTGCGGACAAGGCTGATGAAAACGTTTAGTTGCTCTCTTTGAGTTTCCGCTGCTCGCTCTTGGATTGCTCTAGCCCAGGGGTGTCAAACTCGATAAGGCTGGGGGCCGGATGGAAACCTTCAGGGGTGATTAGGGGCCACAAGAAAAGCCTAATACCTCATATTTTATGCAGACAGGCTGAAATTTGCAGTACTTTTCCGTAACAGACCGTTTAAGAGGACTTCTCGGGCCGGACAAAATGGACTGGCTGGCCAGATCCGGCCCGCCGGCCAGATCCGGCCCGCGGGCCGCCAATTTGACACCCCTGCTCTAGCCCCAGTTTGCTTATTTCAACGTAGCTTCCAAGCTTTTTATAGTCCGACGTTCCTAGCTTTTGGATTCTGCGTCTCTTCGTGCCTTAAATTTTATGCTTATTGTAGTGTCGCTGCCGTAGTGTGCCGTAGTGTAAGTAGTGCCGGGTTCTCCAAAAATAAATAGACGAAAAGAGGGAGACCAAAGAAAAATGTGACAAGCCCTGAAAATATAATAAGGATTTTATTAAAATCCCAGCGGGATTTTTGGCATCGAAGAGGAGCATAAGCAGCTCTCTATCAGGGCTATGCAAATTCTGCTGTTTGCCTTATATCACCATTGCGAAACGGAGTTTTCTGTTGCAGCTGCAATGAAGACGAAATATCAACGCAGTGTGTGTATTGGGTGGATGGGGATTACCTTGAGAATGAACTTTGCGTCATTTTCGCCATCAAGCACGGATATGAAATTTGTGAGCTCAGGACCCATTTCCTGGCGCTGACGTAATTTAACCCTGGAAGCGGCAACTGTCGATCAATCGACAGTTCACCCGTCACAAGGTTTAACCTTGCTGCTTCTTATAACGTCAAGATTTTTCCGGTTGTTGCCTGGTGTCGACGAGTTATGACGTTTTGTGTTTCTCACAAAATGATGCTCCTGCATTGAGTGAAGTGCATACTTTAAGAAATTGCTAAATAAATAAAGGGAAAGTCTTGACGTTATAACGCATCAGCACGAGGGAATGATTTGCTTTTTAGATTCATTGCAACACAAGAATATTTCCCATTTCCCAGCAATTCAGCACGACCGATCTCCCTTATTCCGTATTATTATCCATCTTGGTGTCCGACTGGCTTCAGGCACAGTCACCGTCACCGTCACCGTCACGTTTTCCTCGTCACTGTATTATCGTTCAGTAATAAAAAAAAATTTCCTCAGAATAAGTTGTCTCCTTGTATAAGACGCATCAACCTCTGGAAAATATACGTAGGCTGATCAAAAAGAAACGAAACTTTGGCTGCAGCGCAAATAATCCTCGCCGAATTCGTTGGCCACTCAGCAGGCGTCAACTATATTCACTTTGCGACTCACGTAAAGATGTCAGTTGTCTTTTATTTAAGGAACTCTATTGGTGATCCAAAAAATTGTCTGTTATTAATAGTAACTTTTGGCGGATTTTACCGGAATCTCAACGCCGGAACAGAGGGCAAACTTGAAGCTATGAAAATCGTTCACTAAGACTCGCAAACTTTTGCAGCAGGTGTACCTACGTACAGCAGGTGCTTGCAGTAGTTGTCTGTGCATACATCTGCTGCAAAAGCTCGAGAGTCTCAGTGAATGATTTTCAAAGCTCCATGTTTGCCTTCTGCTCCGGCATTGAGATTCCGGTAGTGTCCGCCAAAAGTTACTATTAATAACCATGACAATTTTTTGGATCACCTATAGAGTTCCTTAAATAAAAGACGACTGACATTTTTACCGTGAGTCGCAAAGTGAATATAGTTGACGCCTGCTGAGTGGCCAACGGTTTCGGCGAGGATTATTTGAGCTGCAGCCAAAGTTTCGTTTCTTTTTGATCAGCCTACGTAATTTATCCCTATTGGTTCTTCCGTTTTGTAAGCTGCTGCATTGTAGAAACTATGTATGCATGATAGCAAAATCCCCATAGAAACTTGAGATGACTTCTTCACTGTCGTCTTGAGCTTCCTCGGGGCCGTGAAGTCATCCCTCCACAAGTATTGATTTGTGGACTGAACAGACCCCCAAGACGAGCATTTATTTGAGGATCAGGTAGAATCGGCATGGTTTGTTGTATGTCAGTATATAGAGCGTGGGGAAAAGGAAGCGGCGTACTACGCATGGAGGAACGCAACTGCCCTGAAGCCGACCCATGCCGTCGCCTGGACCAATCTCCTCATCCTCCTGGACAACAATGGTACTTGGATCCGCTCTTGTCTCTTCTCATTGCCCGGAGTAATGTACAGGGTGTCCCATAAGCCCAGGGGTTTCTAGGGGCCTGGGGCAAAACTAAACTGGAGACTCCTTGAGGCCCTTTGGAGGCCCCCCCTCCCTCTGGGCTTCCCTGCCCATAAGTCCCTTTACCCCTGAACCTTTTCCTAGTGGAATTGGGTAGCAAAATGAAACTTATGCAATTAGTTATTTATGTATTTTTACATTTATTGGAACATTTAATGACACTTGTTCGACAATGTAAAGGGGCTTTGATCACTCATATCTTCTACCATCCTCACAAATCCTTACTGTAATTCACCTGAAAAAAACCCACAAGAGTAAAGAGACTTATGGGACACCCTGTACATCTTATTTCAGAGTTGTATTTTTAAGAAGTTGCTGACAAACGTGGGAATTCACTTCTTGGCTTGCCTAATGTATCGATAGTAAGGAAGGGAAGGAAAAGAAAGACTAGCAACTTTTAACTCGAGTATCTTGCCACTCACTGAAGCTACCTTTACAAAACTTGTACTATGCATAGATTGATAGGTTTCCTACAGGTTTTTGAAATATGATTCAAATTGATATTGGCAAAGCAAATCCATGATCGATTGTGCTCTATAAATTGGAAATCAGAAATTGAAATTGGACAAATGACTCTAATCCAACCTAAGTGCCTTGTCTCATTCTCCGATGAAGACAAATGAAAGATCTGAATAAACTATGCTCAACTTCTCTGTTTTTATACTGATTCATTTGTAATCAGCTGGAATCAAGCTTATCAAAACTATCTGAAAGAAAATGTTGCCCAGGTGATGTGCAAGTGAAGTGCCTGGGTGTGTCCTCCACTCTATTACCAACATGGGCTCTTGTCCATTTTCATTATCCAATTTCTGTTTAATTATTGCTGAAGCAGGCATTTTCTTCATGAGCTCTTTTGTTTCTCTGTGATTGTTGTAACTTGACCTTAAGTTATTGTTATGGTTTATATCAGGATCTGGTTCCAATGAGAGTAGATTCCTTATGAAACAATGTTAAATCACATGCCAGGTTACAACTCTCTGGCTGACCTCTTGTGAAGGAAAGACCAGAAAGGAATTGAAAAGATTTTGGGTGAAACTGAAACTCCAGGTTTTTGCTTCATTCCTCTCACTTTTGACTCCTTTGTCCTTATGGCCTTATCACTGCCCTCATATCCCTGCTCCCAGCACTTGCACAAGGCAAGAGCAAGTGTGCATCACAAGGCCTGTTTGTACTTGGCAGCTCTTGTCTTGCAACTAACAGCAGTTTTAGAAGTATTGCGCTGCATTTTGTTCATGGTTAGAAAACTTAGAGGTTGTAAAACTATGTGAAATGCAGTGGCACTGACATTCCTGCTGACTCAGTGCATTAGGTCATGCCAAATATAGTCAATTTGCATGTTTATTGCAGGTGACCTTGAGGGTGCTGTGTTAGTGGGTCAGGAGGCACTGAGGCACCTACCTGATGACCCTGGGATTCATTTCAACCTTGGAAACACCTTGGGCAAGAAGGGGGACTTTCTTCAATCTGAGAAGCATTTCCTACTTGCCATTAAGCACCGTCCGTCTGCTCCCAACTATTATGCCAATCTTGGTTTGTGTCTCTATCTTTGTATACTGCAAGGAAACCTCCTGATATCACAAGTTTGGAATAATTGTAAGTGCTGTAATAACTTGCAGAAAACTTGAAGAAGCAATTTACAGATTTTTTGTACTTGGGTAATAGGACAACTGAAATGGGTCATTAATTGAATAGACTAGCGGGGCTGTACTGGAGCACTGTGAAACTTGGAAAATGCTTAGTGAATCTGCCTAATGATTTCACTTTCCAAACCACTGAAAGCATAAAGTTACCTCAACTTAAGAAGGTGCTGTCATTCTGAATCTGATTTTTATTTCTGTCATTTTTATTTAGTTCATGAGTTCATAAATTGATGTAAAATATGGTTGGAGAATGACAGCTGAGACCATTCAGCATCTACATTTATCTGGTGACAGCTCAGTCATTTTGGGTGCTCTTCCTGAAACACTTACCTGGACCCAGGTGAGGTATGTCCTATAGACAGGTTGAGTAACGATCTGAATATGTACAAACTTGAATACATACAAGTATGTATTTGTAGTTCAAAATGATGCTGTGCCAGTTGAATTAATGGTTACATTATTTGAATGTTGGTTTTTCATTTGTTCCAGGAGTCTTGTATCATCGGTGGAAGAGGTATGGAGATGCAGAACAAGCATACAAGAAGGCATTGGTCTTGAATCCTGGATTTCGGTCAGCCCAGGAAAACCTGGACAAGTTGTACCGGGTCATTGCCCCATGACCCATCTCAATCTCTTAGGAGTTTGTGAGTTCTCCCTTCTTTGCATATCCTCCCACTTGATATCTGCTCCCCTTCTAACTGGGGTAGGCACCCACAGAGTTCAAGTCCAGAGAAATGGGGTGGATTGGTGATTCTCTAAGGTACCTCCACACCCAGGTTGGGCCCAGCAGCAGGGAAGGGTGGTATCCAGGTCCCTTGGCTACACCTGGAGTGATTTTCCATATTGTCTGTGTTTCTATGGGTGTGTGGTTTTTTTCAAGAATTAGGATGACAGATAATGATGTACATGCTCATTTATTGCCCTGGAATAATCAGGCTTCATTAGGGTACCTTGCTGTTATGAATGAAATGTGAACATTATCTGTGAGGATAAAAAGTTGCATGGAGGAGAACCATATTGGACTACAATTCTCAGTTTGGAAGGGGCTGTTGTGCTTTTTTTTTTCTAAGACTCGCAGTAAATCTTCTCATGCAATAGAGAAAAATCATTTGCATCGTCATTGATGGGCATGTCTTTCCTGCTTTTGTGTTACCACTTTCAGTCAACTGCTCTCTTCTCTTCAATTGATTATTCTTATTGATCTGACTGGACATGGATGACTTGAAAAAAACCACAGGTTTGGTCAGTAAGCTTGGGAGATGGTACCCCTGAGATGAATTGGATGAGCATCCCATCAAGGAGTGGGTTTGCATGCTATTGTTACCTCCATTTTGGATCACCATACAGGATTGGGCTTTGCCCAGCCTGTTATAACTCCTTACATGTCTTTTCATAACAACAACCCTACCGAGTCCACCAACTCACCTGTCCCCATTCTCCCTATCTGGGGATCCCTGCTTTCTAGCTAGGAATGCATGTACAATTGTTTTTCTAATATAGGGCCAGTGTTTCTGGATCAACTTGCTCCCAGTCTGGCTCAATGTGTGAATGTGGTACTCAATGGCCTGGAAGAAAAGGAAAATTCAAAGTTATGGCAATGGAAGTAAAAAACATTTAGGAGATTTGGTGAAATTCCATAATCCTGTGTACAAAGGACTGGATGAATTTGATGGCATCTTGTGAAAAGTCAAGTTTGTGCAGAAAAACTGCAGATTTTGATCAGAGAAAGTATTTAAAAAAGTATAATAAAATTCAAGGAAATTAATTTATTTGGCCACCCTGGTTAAGATCGATGTAATATCTTGAGATAAAGGCCATGTATGGTTTTTATTTTAATAACTTTATTGATTATGATAAGGGGAGGAGTTAAAGTTTAGCATCCCTAGCATCCCTGATATTTTATCTGTCAAGATTTTTGAACAGGGGCTTATATTTGAAAGGGTTCATTGGAACCTCATCCACTTGCGGTCATTCATCAAGAGGCAATCTTCAAACATTGTACTACAGTGGTACCTCGCATAATGAACGCAATTCGTTCCAACGGTGCGTTCGTTATGTGAGGTGTTTCTTTATGCGAAACACGATTTCCCATAGACTTCTATGGGAAATCGTGTAATCCGTTCCACGTCGCCGCGAAAAATCAAGGAAATTAGGAAAAAATGTTTCACTTCCACTCGCGAACACCTTCCATAACGAACGCACCGCTGGAACGAATTGCGTTCGTTATGAAAGATATTACATCGATCTTAACCAGGGTGGCCAAATAAATTAATTTCCTTGAATTTTATTATACTTTTTTAAATACTTTCTCTGATCAAAATCTGCAGTTTTTCTGCACAAACTTGACTTTTCACAAAATGCCATCAAATTCATCCAGTCCTTTGTACACAGGATTATGGAATTTCACCAAATCTCCTAAATGTTTTTTACTTCCATTGCCATAACTTTGATTTTTCCTTAACCCTTCAAGCGAGTTCGATGTTACTGTGACATCCACCATGATATACCTACGGTACAAGTTAAAAGTCATTGTGATGTCCAGTGTGGTAGTGCACTTATATAATCCAAAAGGTTGTGGGTCTCATTATGAGTTGTTGAATGACAGAAAGCTGAAGATGAAGAAAATTTCCCTGCTATTTTTAGGTTTTCCAGTAATATTGGGAGATTTTTTTCATCTCTACAGTTTGTATTGAGTTGTTTTGACAGGAATGGGACTTTAAGAAATAAATGACTGTAAACTGACAAACACATTGTTTGACATGAAGTATTCCAACTCAGCCCAATGTTGAGGAGAGGATTGTACTCCATCAGAGACATTGGGAGATGGGGATGTATTTGCCAAGAGCATCGAGCCTCTTATTCTATTCTAATCTTTTGAGCACACAGCCTTCCATCCTGACTTAGGCAGTTATTGTATTATAGCTTTACCATTGAGCTTTTTAAATGAAACTCTTTGTCAGGAGTGACATGCATGCCAAAATTTAGCTCACACTTCCCCATAATTTTTTTTACTTTTTGGAACAACAGACTTTGCCAAAAGCTACTATACTTATGCTGACATTCAACATTTATATAATCCACCTCCAGGTGAGGCCTTTTTGGTTTCAGGTCTAAAAAAATTCATGGTTTTAAATTCATGGTATTGAAAAAATAATCTGTTTTCATTCTCTCGAGAGAATGAAAGCAGATTAATTCAAATCTCGAATTTGAAAAATGTACATGGACCTCTCTGTACAGTATGGAATATTTGATATGCATTTGCCTACCAAATATTCCATACTGGAATATTTTCCCACCTTTATTTGCAGTGGGTTGTTTGAAAAATTATTTTCAGTATGCAACATATAGCAGATGTATTGGACTTATTAAAATTGCAGTATGCAGAAAGGACAGTGGTGACTGCTTGGCTCAGAAATCACACCCATTTACAGTCTCTCTGGTGGGAATTCCTTTTCATGGCTTGAAGAGCCCCCATGAAGAGAGAGCTCCCCAAACTATATACCACATTGGGTTTGAATGGGAAACCCTAGTCACTCAACCATTGAACCCTGTTTATTTAGCCAATTTGGCTAATCTATTCTCCACTAATATTGAGATTCTGTTGTATAAGCAGGCGGAAGGAGAGCTGTGAAAAGGTTGTGGGACCATACTGTTTCAGCTATGATAATAATATGGTCACCAACAGTATTTTTTTATGCAGCATAAGTAGACCTCCACACAACTTGCGTGAAACTGTAAAACTCTCACTTGCATGAGTTCAAGTATCATGAAGGTGCAGTTTACCCCATGGAAAATGAAAGCATGAAAATGAAAATGAATATATCAAATTTTTTCAGATTTGTTATTGGAAGATTTTTTGTACATCAGATTCTGATTTTTTTAGAATTTGAACTTTATCCAAAGTTGGGAGGGAGGTTCCTTGAGCTGCCAGTAGCCCTTAGGGACTCAGTCTGTTTTAGGATAATGGTGTTCTTCAGGTGTGGAGTTGCAAGGTGTATTAGGGTTTGGTGAATCTTATGTTTTTCCTTTCTGATGATGAGGTAAATGCTATTTTACTAAAATATATTAATTTTTTTCCTGACCAGTTCTTGGAAATATTGCTTTATTGCAAAAAATGTAAAATGTTGCACATATTTCACTATTAATAGGCACTATGAAGAGATGATGACTCTTAGAAGCACTGGAGAGTTATCTTGTGCCCTAGTAGTGAAAAAGGTTTAGAATCCCATATGTACAGGGTGCGTCAGCTATTTGAGAACAAAATTTGACCTTGAGGAAAAAAAAAATATTCAGTAGAAAAACCAATATATTTTCATAGAATTTGGTACACATGTTCTTACATACACATAACAAAAGGCTATTCAATAAAACCGCCTTCAACCTCGATTACGGCCTCGATGCGGCTTCTGAAACGACTACATGCGTTGATCAGGTGATCCTTATTTATGTTTGCCATAATGTCCCCGATGGCAGCCTTCAACGAGTCCTTGGTATTATGGGCATGCTTGTTGGTCTCCCTCTCAACGACACCCCAGACGTAGTAGTTCAGGGGGTTTAAATCAGGAGAGCTAGGAGGCCAAATGTTAGGGGTAACATGATCGTGAAAATTTTCGGCCAGCACAACCCAGGAGTGGCTCCTGGGTCGTGCTGGCTGTGTGAGAGGGAGCAGAGTCTTGCTGGAACACGTACGGCCTCCAGAGCCACTCCCTCAATCTAGGGCTTGACAGCATCTCGGCTCGGGGGAGGCCGTACGTGTTCCAGCAAGACACTGCCCCCTCTCACACAGCCAGCACGACCCAGGAGCCACTCCTGGGTTGTGCTGGCCGAAAATTTTCACAATCATGTTACCCCTAACATTTGGCCTCCTAGCTCTCCTGATTTAAACCCCCTGAACTACTACGTCTGGGGTGTCGTTGAGAGGGAGACCAACAAGCATGCCCATAATACCAAGGACTCGTTGAAGGCTGCCATCGGGGACATTATGGCAAACATAAATAAGGATCACCTGATCAACGCATGTAGTCGTTTCAGAAGCCGCATCGAGGCCGTAATCGAGGTTGAAGGCGGTTTTATTGAATAGCCTTTTGTTATGTGTATGTAAGAACATGTGTACCAAATTCTATGAAAATATATTGGTTTTTCTACTGAATATTTTTGTTTTCCTCAAAGTCAAATTTTGTTCTCAAATAGCTGACGCACCCTGTAGATCATTATGGGTATAGATAGGACAATGTTTTGGATTGTTCATAAGCATCTTGAATTGTCCATGTTAGCAAAGTTTTGGACATATCATTCTGTCAGTGAATGACCAAAGACAGATGTGTTGTGCAGATGGTGCCTGTCAAAGCATATTCAATATATTATCATCCTGGGGGTTGAGAACTAGACATCCCATTTTGACCTGTGACCAAGAGGGAGTCAACTGCTCAGGATTGCCTAGGGCAGTCAGCTTAGGTCACATGAAGTCAGAGGCAGTTGCACTTTCTCTTCAGATCCAGACTATTCAAGAGCTGTGGATGAACTCTACAGGAGATTAAATCAGTAAGTGCCTGTCAAAATCGGCCTGCTGTCAGTCTTTTTAAAAGAGTGGGAAAAGGAGTAAAAGATAGCTTAAAAGTTGTACTATCCTGAAAATGCTGGTCTCTCTTTGCTAACATTTTAAAATATATACACTTTTAATTCTATAGAAACTCTTTAGAAGTGATTTATGTAATTGTGTTTGAAAATACCAGGTGGCCCAAGAAAAAATTCTGAACTTCATGCGTCTGCAGATGGGACACTACGCTAAGCAACATCTTGAAATTTTTGGTGTATCATACCCAATATATGTAGGTGGTTTTAGGAAAATTTAAATGAAATTCCCTACTCTGAACTTGAGTAAGAGCTCTTTCTGTACAAGTCATCAAATGAGCAAGTGTGTCGGTGTGTTTGCCAGTGTGCTGCCTTGGCAAGTGATCCAAGGAGGACATATCCATGGAGGACCCATCAAGCAGCTCTTACATTGACTTCAGGTGTGTTTCTTTGGACACTTGCTCTTTTGACATCATGCAGGCTAAAATTGTGACTCACGTAGTTTACAACCAATTTCAATTAAATTTTTTATTGCATTATCTGCAACCTTTGCTTGTAAAAGTCTGTAAATTTCCTGTCAATAACTCATATGGCACACCATCTGCAGGTGTGTTAAGTTCAGAACTTTTTTTGGGCCAATTGGTATATCCACTCCTGTGCTGTTTCACAGAAACTTAGACAGAATTCTGTATAATTATTTATAATAAATTCTATGGATTTCTGTGTGTTGGAATTCTAGAGGGTTAGTTAAAAGTCTTGCTGACTTTTTGACTGTTGATATCTTATGACTGATATGATAGAGGTATCAGATTTCAATTCAGTTTGGATCATTTGGAAGCCAGGAAAATTCTGTATGAGCTCTTTTTGTGTAATTTCAAACAAGAACAAGAGAGCAATGTTACAAGCTTTAGATCACTCTGTGAAATTTGTTTAACCATTGACTGGAATTTCAGCCTCTGCTTTCATGTGCAGTGTGCTCTCATGCTTATGTGATTGAGAGATCTTCCTTTTGACTAATTCAGGGCTTTATCTGGAGTGTGACCAGTTTGTAGACCTCCAGTGTGGGAAGTTTTGTTACTGCTCCTTTCCTGTCGAAATTCCAATCAATTCAGATAATTGACTTGAGCCTGACTTTCTTAGTTGAATTTGTTCTTGAATTGCCTAATGGTTTCTATTGTGTCCTGGTCAAATTCTTAATTATGCCAAACCATTTCAACACACCTTTTGATAATCATTTCTCTTGTCAATCTCATCAATATTTCCTAGAATTGAATTCAATATGATACAGCATGAAAGCATGTTTTCAGATGTGAACTTGAAAAATCCCAAAAAGTTTGATCTCATGAGAAATGATATGATCAACAAAGTACCATGTCAATATATATATTGATAGAAAAATCTCTTGCCTTTCTAAT